CACATAAGCAAACTGAAAAGGCAGTTATGATCATCTTCATAGACTCATAAGAAGCATTCGGCAAATACAATCCCCATTCAAAAATGGGAAGCGTAAGAGAAACATAAGGGAACTTTTCAGGAAAAGGGAACCTTTCTTAAAAATGGCAACAAGCATATTATATTTAAGGTAAATTATTTAATACTGCCTCCATGATTGATAAGGTAAGCATGGTTGCTGTCAACATTTCTTAATAGCTTTTTAGAACCATTTATTATTGCAATAAGGTAAGAAACAGAATGAAAAGACATGAATTCAGGAAAGAAGAAATTGCATTTATATACAGACTACATAACTGTTGTGTTTATGCCTTCCCCCAGATTCACGTGCTGAAGGCCTTCACTTCAATGTGGTAATATTAGAAGGAAAGTTTATGAGGTGATTAGGTTTGGTTGGGGCGGTGCAAGTAGAGCCCCTATGTCAAGGTTAGTACCTGTCCTGGATTTTTGTCAAGCACCTGTTTGTTAGTACTTGTCCTAGAGTCAGCTGAAAAAGGTGAACCTCAACTGAAAAACAGCCTCTATAAGACTGGAAAGCTTTGGGACATTTCCTTGACTAATGACTGGTGTGGGACTGTCCAGCTCTTGTGGGGAGTGGCATCCCTGGGCAGATGGTCCTGTGTGCTCTGAGGAAGCAGGCTGAGCAAGCCATGGGGAACGAGCCAGTAAGCGTTTCTCCAAGCTTCTGCATCAGCTCCTGCCTCGGGTCCCTCTTTCGACCTCCCTCCGTGATGGACTGTGACCTCCGCCAAGTTGCTTTTGGCCATGGCCCTTGGCACAGCCACAGAAGCCCAACCTAACTAAGACAGTGCTTGTTGAGTGAGTGGAGCCACCAGATGTTTGCCGTCTTCCTCATGCAAGAAAGCAGTGAGACGCAGTGGGTCCAAATTAGCTGGCCACTGGGCCTTAGACCACACAGCCTCCAGAACTGTGACACATAAATTACAACGTCTGAGGCCCCCCCACTCTATAGGGTGACTGAAGACAATGTATTTTACCTAGGAAAATCCTAGCAAATCACCAAAAGTGCTATTGAAATTAATAAATAAATTAGTAAGGTGACAGATAACAGGCTCAAATGTAAAAAAAATCATATTTTTGCAACTCTGTTTAATAAACATTTATGTTTGTACATGTGTACTTAAAATAAATTTTAAGATAAAGTTTCTATTTTAAATACAAAAAAAGATTTATTTGTGCATTTTATAAATATGTGAAATTTATATATCAATATAATTTCTAAATTTATACTTTATGAAAAAGTACTATAATTATAAAATAAAATATTATTTTAATAAAATAATATCAGAAATAAATGAATAAAACAGAGCTGGGCAGTGGTGGTGCATGCCTTTAATCCCAGCTCTCAGAAGGCAGAGACAGGTGGATCTCTGTGAGTTTGAGGTTAGCCTTATCTACAAAGGTAATTCCAGGACAGCCGGGGCTCCACATCAAAAAAATAACAATAGAACAAAAATGAGGCCTATATATTGAAAGCTACAAATGTTTGGGATGAAAATAGGATTTAATACAAAAAGATAAATATGTATGATTCAGAAATTCACTGCTACCAAGGTGAAGTTCCCTACCAATCAATATAAAGATAAAACACAATTTCAATCAGAAAATTTATTTTCTGTGTGTAAATGTACACGTTGATTCAAAAATTTATATATACATGCAAAAAGCATTTTTCATTTGAGTTTTGGGTTAGTTTTGTCTTTTTCAGACAGGGTCTCCCTATGTAGCCCAAGATAGCCTTGAGATACATTCCTGCCTCGGCTCCCAGCACTAAAATTGCACTATGTGTGACCATATCTACTCAAATTTGACTTTAAATAGTCAAAACAATCTTGAGGAAGGAAAAAAAACCCTGAATGACTCACATTACTGATGTCAGGATTTAGTAATCAAACCAATATGGTAATTAAAATCATAGGCAAACGGATCATAGAATATCAGAGAGCCCAGAAAAGGACTCACATGCTTTTAATAACTTGACTCTTAATAAAACCATCAAGCCAGTATAGTGGGGGCTGGAGAGATGGCTCAGAGATTAAAAGAACTGGCTACTCTTCCAGAGGTCCTGAGTTCAATTCCCAGAAACCACATGGTGGTCACCAACTATAATGAGATCTGGTGTCCTCTTCTGGCGTGCAGACACACATGTGGGCAGAACACTGTACAACCAAATAAATCTTGAAAGAGAGGGGGAGGGAGGAGAGAGAGAGAGAGAGAGAGAGAGAGAGAGAGAGAGAGAGAGAGAGAGAGAGAGAGAGAGAGAAAGGACCATATAGTGTAGAAAGAGATGTTCTGATAATAAGCACATATATGAGGGCTCTCACCCTCTTACCTTACACCATATACTAGACGGAGATAAATAATAGTAAATGTAAAAATTAAATTACACAAACACAGAAGAACAGTGTTACTTTGCCATTGCTGTAGTAAAACGCCACAACCAATGAAAGCGACTTACAGAGGGAAGTGCTTCTTACATAAGCTTATTTGGGTTTGTGAGTTCAGAGGTGTAAGAGCCCACCCAGCACCGCCATGGGGAAGCAGCCGGCTTGTGCAGGCATATGGCTGGCGCGGCAGTTTCCATCCCAACCCATAGTGTGCATCAGAGAAAGCATACTGGGACCAGCTTGAGGACTTGGAAACTCAAAGTTGGCCCCTAGTGACACACTCCTTTCAGGAAGCCCATACCTCCTAAACCTCTCCAAACAACGCAACCTACTGGGGGCCTAGTAATCTAACATATGAGCCTCTGGGGGACAGTACCGTTCAAACCATCACAAACATGTAAGAGGAGATCTCTACTTGGAATTGACAACCATTTATTAGACAAGATACAGAAGGGAAGAAGGGAAGAAGGGAAGAAGGGAAGAAGGGAAGGAGGGAGGGAGGGAGGGAGGGAGGGAGGGAGGGAGGGAGGGAGGGAGGGAGGGAGGGAGAGGGGACGAAGGAAGGGAGGGTAGGAGGGATTGTATCAAAATGTTATAATCTGGTCGAGAGGAAAATACTGTAAAGCCTACATGATAAGGAACTCAATGTTGTTATACAAGGAGAATCATCAGCAATTCAATAATAAAGATACAAACAACCCAACATACAGCAGGCACAAAAATCTGAATCAACACCACGAAGTAACATACATGGACCACATGCACACAATCTGCGCACACAGAAAGGGCTTAGCAGCACTGAACTTCAGACCAATTAAACTTTCAAACCACAAATTCAAACCACAAGTGAGATGGTTGTGCAGTCCCATCATACCAGCTGGCAATGAAAAGACATCATCAGACATGAGCAGAAACTTTTTGTTGGTGGGACTGTAAACTTGTATGTTAGATTACAGACCCTCTAGCTGCCTCTCCCCCAGACAAGCCACAAATCCTGGCAGCTTTCCCTAGACAGAGCATGATCAGCAAATCTGCTACAGGCTTGCAGTCTCCCTGCCCATTGGAGCTGCAATTCAGCATGCATGTTAACACACACACACACACACACACACACACACACACACTACATACACACAACACAGACAACACACATGCAAACCACAAGTACACACACACACACATACAACACACACGTACACCACACACACACTACATAAACACAACACAGACAACACTTGTGATTCCAGTCTCCTGAGGAAGATCCTCTCCAGACTAGAAGACTTGTGATTCCAGTCTCCTGAGGAAGATCCTTTCCAGACTAGAAGACTTGTGATTCCAGTCTCCTGAGGAAGATCCTCTCCAGACTAGAAGACTTACTTTTCACTTCAGGGCCCACAATGGCTATAGGTCCACAGATGCCGCAACTCCCCAAGCAAAGCTAGTCTACAGGGAGGTGTGTTCCAGCTCCTTCTATGAGCCTGCGATGCCCTTTTATCCTGCATGATCAGTGTTCTAGATAGGTGTCTGCAGTAGAAGTACCCACCAGAGTCCAGTGCCCACAGACCAGCAACAAGTCTCTGCATACTTGTGCTCCTAGAAATTATAATAACCCTAAGCAGGAACCCCTCATATGCCCATAAATAAGAGAATCAGAAGCAAATAATGACATACCTGCAAGTAAAATGAATAAACTGCCAGTCCATAGTAGATATGGACCTCACCCTCATGTCAGCAAAGGATGCCAAACATACGAGAGACTACACATGCATGATCTCATTTATATGAACTTTAAAGGCGGCAAATGGCTCCTCAATGATGGATAACAGAACACTGGTCACCCATGGTACATGCTGGGGGTGAGCTGGAAGAGGGTGCCAGGGAACTCTCCACCTACCTTCACTCGGTAAAACTCATCAAATTGCAAGTGTGAGATTTGTTCTCTCCAGGGTTTGACGCTTCAGTGTTTTGAAAACATTTGCCAAGCCCCTCCCACACTCAAGGTGTAAGATATTCCAGACCCTGCTCAGTTCCCAAAATAATCAACACTCCAGTGCTCTCATACACTTCACAAACTCCTGGGCAGTGATGAAGGGAGAGTAAACTGCTTCGTGGATGAAAAATAAGTGCAGGAGCTTGCGGTCAGAAGTGGCCTTCCTAATCCCACTGAAGTAGCTTCACCAGCACCACGATGAGCAAGGATAAATAAGAATGTTTATAGCTTCATTTTGCATGACCAAAGCATACAAGGCCCTCCACTGTTTTTACCCTACTCAATTCTTGCACATCCAGCTTGCAATAACCAGTTAAATTTCCTGAGAAAATGCAAGAGGGTTCTTAATTGATGCCTATTAAAAGTTAAATTATATGAATTTGTAGTTAGACAGATTATATTCAAACAAACTTAAAAGTCCCCATGACTTATCACTTCCTAATTACATATTTTGTTATCTGCACCCTCACTGTTACTAACCTAGAATATCTCTGGGGTCTGAATGGTGTGTGAGATACTCTTCTTGTCCCTGAGCCAAAACACTGGACAGAAGCATCCCAAGCGAGAGAGGGTTTATTTGGGGTCACAGTTGAGGGAGGTTGGTCCGTCGCTGCTGGAGAGAGATGGTGGCAGCTTCATCCATGGTAGCAGGAGTGCGTGGCAGAGATGACTCACATGGGGGCAGATAGAAGGCAGAGAAAAAGTGAGTGGAACCAGGGATGGGTGTACCAGCACCTGACAGCCACCTCCATGAGCCAGATCCCACCTCCTAACGGTCCCACAGCCTTCAAAGCAGTGTCGTATGGCTGGAGACTGCAGAGAGTGTTCCCAATGAAGCTGTCAATCCCCACGCTCTGTGTGCTGTTGCATGTCACTGCCCAGCTGGAGGTCCAATGCTACCGTGTTCTTAGTGCATACACCATAGAAATCAGCCAGCACCACAAATCAGGACCTGATTTGTTGTTTTATCGATTGCCTAGACTTAAAAAAATAAGTGAAAAGTATTAACCATGCCTCTTTAAACTTAAGTGCATGGCATTGAAGCCATCATATTGGTAAGCAGAGCAAGGCACTCAGAAAATATTTTCCCCAATATTCAAAACCCTTTATTGAGTTTAACAAGAAGCCTCTCACACCACTGAAAACGGGCAGAGTTCTGACACATGTTTGAGTTGTTTCCTTCCTATTAGGCTCACTCATGAAAACGAAATGCCAACAACCTTTACCTCAGAGCTGCGTCCATTCTTCAGCTGACATCATGGCCCGTCTCTGGACAGGAAAGTGACGAAAACCAGCAACATTTTGGGAGAATCATCTGATTGTATGGAACTTCCAAGCATTGGTAGGATGTATGTAGACTGCTATATTCCTTTATGTTTGCAAATTATGTAACTAATTGTATAGTATGTACGTACAATATCTTTCCGTCAAGCCAAAATAATTACACATAACTGATTCCATTTTCCCCCAACACCAACAATGTCATAACATAGATGGCTACACGCGTTTCCCACAGTGAAACAGAGGCTCAGAAAAGTGTGCATGTGTGTAAAACACACAGCCTTTTATCCGTCACAGCTCTAGTCATCGTCACCGACGTCACAGCTCTCAGAACCCTGGCATTGCATGCCCTACTGCAAGCCTCCCAGAAAGCACACTGGCCAGTGACTCTCCTACGCCTGATCCGTAGCTGGGGAGACAGAAGCTAGAGAAAGCGAGCATGCTATTCAAAGCCTACGTCTGACCAGTGGCACGGGTGGCTCATATTCTCATTAGGAACGTCATCTCGAATCCAAGGGACACCGAGAGAGCTTCAGTGGCCCTGTTCCTCCACACATCCCCGCTAGTCCCTACGCATCCAGAAAGCCTGACACGGAGGAACACCAACAGATGTTGCTCCAGGTGAGGTATGTGACTCACTGCGGACATTCAGCTTGGCATGGAATCCCGTCCAAGCCCTCATCTTTCAGATCTGGCCAGAAATGTCGTCTCAACTATCCTTAGCTCACCGAGAGCCGGGTGGAACTCTTGAGGATCCAGCAATGGGGAGAGGGAGCCCTCTAGTTTTCCCCCTGTTGTGGTGACGTTATGATTCATAGGGGGTCTCTGGATCGGGGCAGCTATCAGAAGCCACTGGGTAGCCAGGGCAAGAGAGCACTCCCCAGCATATGGCCAGAGGCAGGCACAAAAGTTACCACATATCATTAACACTGATGCGGGCACTTTGACAATTACTCGCATCGATACAGATCCCCACACCTCAACACATCAGACAGTGGCAGAGCAGTAAACGCCACACCACACACACACACACACACACTCAAACAGAGGTGCAGATGCACTGGCCGCCTACACACTGCCAGACATACAGATAACTGCTGAGGTACCCCACAGGCAAGCATACAGGTTCAGAGACACGCACACAGGCTCCAACACTCATTAGATACTCACCGCCACCCTCAGCACAGATAGTGAGTGAGTATACACACTCCCACACAGGCAGGCAGAGTTTGCAGCTACTCAGCAGGGACACACATACACACACACACATGTTCACACCCTGACACCCAGCCACACACTCACACTACCACTGTCCAATAACCGCACCCCCCACCTGCTCACATGCGTGCACGCACACGCACACGCACACCAGCAGGCTACAAGGTTAGAGGCAGGCAGCGGGCTCCCAGGCTGCTCACTCAGCTTGGCCTTAAACACCAGCATCCAGCCGGCAGGCGGTTGCAGAGGTGCCAGGCCCTGCTGCTGCTCAGCCAATGGCAGCAGCCTCCTGCGCCCACCTCACCAGCAACCATATTCATGAAAAGACGAGTGTAGACTGGGCGGAGTCAGTGGTGAGAGGGACCGAAGATGAAATCATAATCCTGCCGGGTTTGTTCATTTCGGTGATAATTAGCGGTGCATTCACGCCGCCTCACCGGCCGCTCCCGGCTGATCCCGCGTGATGGATGCCTGGTGGTGCTGAATGCAAATTAGCATAATTTCATTACCGAGGGACCCGTGAAAAGGTTCAATTATAGAGCAATCTCATTAATACCAGGGCTTGTTAAACTAATAGAAAGAGACAGGCCCCGCAGCTCCGAGAGGAGACACGTGCTCCGAATGCAATTCCATGAAGCCCCAGTACCTGGCCACGCCCGCACCCCCCTGGCCTGCAGTCTTGGAGCTGGATTCCTGGTCTCCAAGACTCAGAGCCTCTAGAGAACACAGGTACAAAAGGCCCAGATTCTGGAATGAATGGGCCTCAGCTAATTGGCTAGATCAAGGTCACAGCTGCAGAACTCTGGGCCCACAGTGTGGAAGTGTCTTGCCCAAGGTGTGTGGCACTGAGGCCACAGAGCCATGGGGACCCACAGGTGGGAGAAGGGAATGCCCACTTCTGTCCGGCAATTGCCCTCATAGCATGTAAGGAACCTCTCAGCTGTGACTCAGTCTCTCCATTATCATCAGGCCTGTTAGCCCCAAACTCCTGGAGACACAGCTCTGGAAGGACAGCAGGCTGGAGGCCGTAGTCTATGTGTGTATAAAGTAACTCCACACATTCCTTTTTTGGGCCACCGACATGGTGTTCTAGCCAGAGAACAGCTCCACAGGGGAGTACTCTTCCGGACCCTGGCTGACTCTCCAGGTTGGGTAAGGAAGTTGCTGCCTCTGCCTTTCGCGTTCATTTCTTAGAAGTTTAGCCTCTTCCTTATTTGACCTCACCAAGAATAGGTCAAGCTTGGCCCAACCTGAGCCCACAATCCCCACCCCCAGGAGCCCTTGGCAATGACCTGGGGCCTGCACTCTTCCCAGCAGCCTGGCACATGCGGGGGTGGCTTATATGACTTGGCTGTATTGTTGTTGTCACCTCTGTAATAGCTGGTATTTTTTTCTGCAATTGTAAGTAAAACAGAACAAGTCCCCAGATGCCCCAAATGGGAGAATGAGTCACACCGTTTGTGACTGCACACACAAAAATATGCAGTGACTCAGAGCCCCCGGCAGAAGAGACCAGCCCACAAAAGGCCCCATTGTTCAGACTTTCAAGGGTTAGGGGAGGGAGCTGAGTGTCTGCAGACCGCCAGGCTGCCTGGACTGCGGCTGTTGACACTTGTGTGGGTGTCCTTTGGTTCTGCTTATGCTGTCCCTCACCCTCTGTTTGTTTTGCTGTTTTGCTTTGAGACAGGGTTGTATACAACCCAGGCTATTCTCCAACTGGCTAATGGAGCCAAAGATGGTTCTGATCATCCAGCCTCTACTTCCTAACCCTGACCCTGACCCTGACCCTGACCCTGACCCTGACCCTAACCCTAACCCTAATCCTAACCCTGACCCTGACCCTGACCCTGACCCTGACCCTGACCCTGACCCTGACCCTAACCGGGCCTATACCACTGTAGCCTGTTCAGTTTTCTCTTTTTCACAATAACACCGTGAAGACAGATAATAGCATAAGGCTAGACCAGCAGCGACAAGCCTTGTCTACTATCAAATGATGACGGGAGAAGAGAGAGGAGACCTCAGCGACAGCTGACCCTGGGACTTCAGAAGCCACGTGACAGACAGGAAAGCCACAAGCTAGGCTGGTCTAGTCACCCAGACCTGAAAGCTCAGCACCCAGGATGCTGAAGCAGGGGGATCTTCATGAGTTGGAGATCAGCCTGAGCTATACAGTGAAATGCGGGGGAAGGGGGGAGTTATGGATGGGTATTGCGGGGCATGGAAAAGGGACGGGATGAGAGTTTCCTGGGCCTTGTAACCATGGTAACTTGCTGGTCCCTAAGGAGAATTGTGAAACCGTGGGCAAGGAAAGGTCCTGGAAAAGAGTATTTTACCCAGAAGGGCTCAGAGCTGCAGAAGATGCTTCTAGAAACCTGAGATAGAACGCCAACCCTCAAAGGTTCTGAAAACCCTGGGAGAGGTGTGTGGGGAGGGTGGGAGCCGGAGCTACATCTCCATTGACCGCAGCCCAAAGCTCATAGCCACTACCCCGAAGTGATGAATTGGGAAGTCCTGTTAGCAGACACACATTACTGAGAGTGGGGGATGGTGAAGAGATGTTGGGCTAAAGTGAACCCCAGGCCTCTGGGGAGCAGCCCTGGGTTGCAGTGGGAGCCACATAGAGCTCTTCTTTTTAAGAGGCGTGCTATCAAAGGGCCTTTGCTTATGCACCTGGCCAAGCATCTAATGCAAAATGGGTCAGGATGAGGGCTTAAAGTGGGCTGGGGGTGAGCGTGTCTGTGTGTATGCACATCCACACGTGTGCATGCACCCCGTAATCGCTAGTGTGCTGCAGAACAAAAGCTAGTCTCCCATCCCTTAAGCCAACCCTTTGTGACAGCCGGCCCTTCTCCCCTGACGAGCCAGGCTTTGTGAGCGGGTTTACTAATCGTAGATTTTACAAGACTCAGATTCAGATTCAGGTCAGCCACTTCCTGACTGTGCAGCCTGGACGAATCACTCAACGTCTCTGTGCCTGTGTTTTTCCACTTTAAGATAAACAGGCCAGGTGGGGTCTGGGCTTGCTCTTGGGTTGCTTCAGCTGGGTCCCTGGTCCTCAGGCTCCCTGGCCTTGCATGACACATGCTCTGCCCTCAACCCCTCTCCTACTCTGTGGCTACCAGCAAATGAAAAGCTTGCACCCCAGTGAAGGATCAGGACACGGAAAGGTTCGAGATTAGAGAAAGGAGGGGTCAGAAACCTTGGACAATGGGTGGAGAGGCACCGAGTGTGGCCTGGGCCCATCAGGCCTCTGGCTGACACTGGCCCAATGCAAAGAAGGTTTATTGCCTCGTTTAAGCGAGAACCCTGCACCAGCTTCAGACGTGGGTGAACACAGACGCTCCAGTAGCCACTCTGCTCTGTTGTTCTCTGGTTCGAGCCCCATCAGTCCCAGGCAGGCAGCTCGTGCAAAGCACAGGACAGATGGCCTCTGTGGTCTTCGCACTAGCAAACTTTTCCTGTCCATGTGAACAAATACCCAGGAGAAGTTACCAGGTTGAGGAAGGATTGGTTTCTGGCTTACAGGGCTGGGGGTTCAAGCTGTCATGGTGGAGAAGGCAAGGGGTCAGCATGAGCTGGTTGGTCACATTATGGCCAGAGTCAGAAAGCAAAGACAGACAGAAAGAGGGACCACGCTACAAAGCCTAGAGGCTCCCAGTCACTCTGTCTCCGCAGAGCTTCCCCTCCTATTGGTTCCATGAGATTCCCAAACAGCATCACCCTCTGGGGTCCAAGTGTCCAAAGACAGGAGCCTTTGGGAGACAGCTCACATCCAAACCACTTGTCTGACAGCCTCTGATTTCAGAAGAGCCTCCATCCTCTGCCTCCCTAGCAAGATCCTCAGAGAACGCTAGGCAGTCCTTTAGTCACATGTGTGCTTCTGACCAATCACTGTTTCTAGGCAGCTGGGGGGCTTCCCGATTAACCCCCTGGGGTTACATGGTCTGCCCTAGACATAGGGGTAAGCCGTCAGATGATCAAATACCCCGTGTATATTGTAGAAAAACAAAAAACAGTGCCCCAGAAAGAGAGGCAGCCCACAAGGAACATGAAACCGAAAGCAACTTCCTGAGCCAGGATCCGAAACTGGGGAAGGGTTCAGGGGGAGAAGGTAAGGTCTGCCGTGGCTGGGCCACCAGGCGCTAGTTCCAGAGAATTTGGCAGCTCCTGGCATGTGGACTGCAGTTAGAAGGTAAGGTTGGCCAGTGAGAGGGCCATGAAAGGAGAGGCGTGGGTATGGAGAAGAAAAGCCCGGATGAAACTCACCTGTAGGCAATGGAAGCTGCATCTCAAGCAGACTGTAGGTTTTCTGGACCCTGTGGGTCAGAGGGGGCATGGACAGAGAAGTAAGCCTAGCTTAAAATTATAAAGTCAGACCTTCCAGGGATTAGCCTCAGCTACTGTCTCCTACCCTGAAACTACCCCTCCAGAACAGAAAAGCGCTTTGGGGCCAAGCCTGCTCTTACACCTGCCATGGCTCCCCAGGAGAACATTATCTGTCCCGGATCAGCTTCATGGCTTCTGCTGTGTCTCCTCATACCCACCACTTTCCCCTGTCTTCATATGGATCATCTGCCTCGCCCACCAGACCTTCAGTGTGGCCAGGCCTCCACACAGAGCACCCAACCCACCACCACGGCCACAGAGACCCAGACCGTGCTCCAAAGCCTCACTGGAGTGTGTGGGGCTGACAGCGGGGCTTATCCCCGCCCCATCCGGCCCCTAGCACGCTCACTTCCCCTGACCCCCCACTCTCCTTTCTTCAGAGATCTGCATCCACCCCTGGCTGTACCCCGCCCCCAGCTGCGTGCCGTGCTTAAGCCTCTGCGCCACAAGTGAATACGAACAGTGCTGTACACATAGCAGGGTGTTTGCGGAGACTGCTGAGGAGACCCTGGAGAGAGATGTTTTAGAAAGGGCTGGAGACATGGTCCGAAGGTGAAGAGCACTGGCTGCTCTTAGAGGTCCTGAGTTCAATTCCCAGGATCCACATGGTGGCTCACAACCACCTATAATGAGATCTGGTGCCCTCTTCTGGCCTGCGGGTGTACATGCAGGCAGAACACTGTATACGTAATAAATCGGAAGGACGGAAGGAAGGAAGGAAGGAAGGAAGGAAGGAAGGAAGGAAGGAAGGAAGGAAGGAAGGAAGGAGTTGCACCAATGGCCTCATTGTCACTACTGCCACCTTCTGGCCGGGGCGGTAGATTGGATATTCCTCCAGGAGCACTGGGTCTCTCCCCTCATGGCGGTGCGGGGCAGGAGGAGGAGATGGGGTCTGCTCCTCACAGTCAGTCTCCCTTGGAGCTCACTGAGGGAAGGATGTCCTGTGACTTCACAGGGCACAGGAGAGTACAGCCCCTGCTCATCCCACCCTGACTCCCTCCTGAGGAGTCCAGCTCCCACCCTGCAAAGAAGACCTACAGGAACAGATCACATAGGTGTCCCAGTAACTGTCCCCAGCCAAGGCTCAGCCACAGCCAGCATCAGCTTGAAGACACGTGTACCATGCCACACTCACGACAGTGGCTACCCACAGGAAAAAAAAGCACGTGTGAAGTCAGAACCCTTGTGGGTTACCAGGAAGTGCTTTATTCGCTACTGTGGAAATGTCACATAGGTTCCAGAATTATTAAGCGTCACATCACCGTAACGATCCAACAATTCTTCATCTGGGTCCACACCCCAAGAGACCGGGACCGTGGGCACAGCTGCAGTAAGCCCAGCGGCCACAAGGTGGCCACTCTAGTGTCCATGGTCCCTGGATAACGGGTTTTCAGGGCCTCGCAACACAACCTCCTTTAAGCACTCTGCCTTTAAGAAGAATAAAGCTTCACACATATGAGTTAAAGAATCCAGGAAGAGAAGAACAAACACAGCCCCATTACGCTTCTACCAGGTTCCAAGCTGTGGTTGCAGAGGCTAAGGATGGTCGGTGGGATGAGAAGGCTGCCTGCCCTCTGTGTCTGGGGCAAGTGCCTTGGAGTTAGCAGAGCCCCTTGTCCCAGGCAGCATCCGTGCGCCCCGTAAGGGCAGCTCTTTCCATAAAGCCCACGCCGAGTAGCCCTGCATTCCTCTCCCGGTCAACAGGCTTGTGTGCCACGCAAGTGAGCTTCCGGGGCCGAGCAGACCCCTCCCTTCCTCTCTCATAAAACGCCCGTGACTATAGGCATGGGCTGTCCTGCACAGGAGTGAACATTGAGCCAGCTCTGCCATGCACCTGATGCGCCAGCTAGAGAATGTTATTTACACTCTCTGCACCTGGTTACTTTTTATTTATAAATAAAAATCCACTTCATAGCATGAGCTGGCGCATCAGGGACATGATAAATACACGTTCTAGCAACAGACACTGGCAAGCAGTAGGAAGGCCTGAGGAAGCAATGTGGCAGGCGACACTAGACACGTGATTGTGTAGCAAGCCACCCCCCTCTGGCTGAGATATTCCCTCCTGAGTTGAGAGGGGAGGCTGAGTCTCAGAAAACTCCCGAATTTACAAGACTCAGGGATAAATCTCACAAAATGGGGAAGCTTAGAAAGTTACAAAGCCTTGCTGGGTGGTGGCAAACACCTTTAATCCCAGCACTCCAGAGGCAGAAACAGGCGGGTCTCTGTGGATTTGAGGTCAGCCTGGTCTACAGAGCGAATTCCAGGACAGGCTCTAAAGCTACACAAGGAAACCCTGTCTCAAAGAAAACAAACAAAAATAGAGAGAGAAAAGAAAAGAGAAAGTTGCAAGCCCTTTCCATAAAGCTATATAAGTAGCACACAGTTGCTGGGAGAGAGGGGGCTGTCTCCAGTGAAGTGTCCACAGAATGTGCAGGGGAGAGGGGGGGCTGTCTCAGGGAAGAGCCTGCAGTTGTGCAGGGTAGAGGGAGGACTGTCTCCAGGGAAGAGCCTGCAGTTGTGCAGGGTAGAGGGGGGCTGTCTCCAGGGAAGAGCCTGCAGTCTGTGCAGGGTAGAGGGGTACTGTCTCCAGGGAAGAGCCTGCAGTCTGTGCAGGGGAGGGGGGGCTGTCTCCAGGGAAGAGCCTGCAGTCTGTGCAGGGGAGAGGGGGGCTGTCTCCAGGGAAGAGCCTGCAGTCTGTGTAGGGGAGAGGGGGGACTGTCTCCAGTGAAGAGCCTGCAGTCTGTGCAGGGGAGAGGGGGGCTGTCTCCAGGGAAGAGCCTGCAGTCTGTGCAGGGGAGAGGGGGGACTGTCTCCAGGGAAGAGCCTGCAGTCTGTGCAGGGGAGAGGGGGACTGTCTCCAGGGAAGAGCCTGCAGTCTGTTCAGGTGCAGTCAAGCCCAGGGTCTTGGCTTCCATGAGTCTACACTTACACCAGGGTTGGCTTTCCAGGCCGAATCTGCTTCTGAGTCATCCATGCTCTTGTAAGCCACCCCTCACCTGTGCTCCTGGACTTGGTGGACCTGTTTCTTTGGTCTCTGCCAGAGCTCTGTCTGGGGTGCATGTACATTTGCTCTCATCTCCCCAAGAAGATCTGCACAATGGGTTACTAGTAAGTTGAGCTGAGAGCATGACTAAACATGTCTGCAGAAGAACCAATTGAAAATATCAATAAACATATAAAACAAGCAAATGTGGGCCATGCCCATTGGAACAACAATAGAATATCATTTGTATCCCTTAGACTGGAAAAAAATTGTAATGTCTAACAAGAAGATGCCTAAGGTGGGTGTTTATAGAGATATATTATTTATGATTTACTAAAGCTTGCCTGAAGATTCAGAAAGCAAAGTCAGCTACAAGCCTTAGAAGCCTGGCACATGCCTTTAATCCTAGGACTCAGGACTGAGAGATAGATCTCTGTGAGTTCAAGGCTACCCAGGGATACATGAGATTGAATCAGTCTAAAAGAGTAACAGAGATCACATGCCTTTAATCCCAGCACTAGAGGGGTGTAAAAGATAGAAGTAGGGTCTTTAGTAGTCAGTAGGAGGCATTTGTTCTCCAGCCACACTGAGGAGACGGCAGCAGTTTGAGACTTGGTGAAGAGCTCCTGCGTGGATCAGCCCTTTCAACCTGAGTCCGAGGTGAGAGCTAGTGGCTGGGTGCTTTGCTTTTCTGATCTTCAGCTTGAAGTTTGAACCCTAATATCAGGTTTTATTCGTGTTACAGGTGTTCTTGCTCTAACTGGGATGACCTGGGAAGTATTTATGTGATTTGAATTGATGCCGTCTTCCAGAAACGTATCATCTAGTGAAGAGAAGCCACGGGTGCCTGTGGATGCTTGTTCGCAGTGACTGCTATAGCAACCCCCAATCTCAGTGACTCAAAACAACCCAGATGTACTCTTCACTCATGCCACAGTTCCTGGAAGAAAGGGAGGAGATAACCTTGCTTATTAATTATGTAAACACCCAAGCACAGAAAGCAGCCGCTACCTGAGATGTCACAGATCACTATGCCAGAAAGAAGGGCAGCTTCGGGACATCTTACTCTTGCGGATAAGTGATCCAGTTAGGAAAAGACACTACAGTGTCTACAAAGTTTTAGTTCAGTAGTTATCTGCTCCATCTGCAGAAGTGGGGGTGGGGAGAGAGGAAAATACATCTGATCCTCAATCTTCCAAGCAGGAAGATACAAGTATTTAGCAAACTACTTAATACATATCAGAAACATCACTGCCTGCACTATCCATGTAGATTTTGTGAACTCACTTATTTAATTCAGGTAATAACCATACAGGCCTTTCCTGAGACACACGACCAAGCGTGGCTATGGACACGGGAGAGGGCGGCATCTCTGACAGTTGTTCTGACTGAGGCCATCACACTGTGTGGAAGGAAAGAGAAAGTCCCGTTCTCAGATGTCCCCTGAAGTTTGTGGGTGAAGGGCCACTGCTTCCTCCCATAAGCCTGTGCGTCACACTGACGGTGACACACCCTGTAGAGAGAGAGAACACGGGTATGGCCAGCCAAGACCAGTGCAGCTAGTCATTGTTCAGTCCTGCCGCCTCACAGAGTCTCAAAACTCCCTTCCCTGATTTCCTATCAGAGCATGCCAGCTGCCAGCTGCCCTGCTTCTGCGTGGGAGTGGCCAAAGGGGTCTGCCACTCAGCTGGTGACATGAAAAGTCCTTGCCCACTGGCTTCCCCTTTTTGGGTTGCCATGTCTTGTCTAAATTATCCTGAGAGTGTGTTGAGGGGTGTCACGGCCTCTTCTACAAAACCGCCTTGAGTGTGGGGTGCTTCTCCATCCTGCCGTTCTTCCTGCTTCCCACCAGCTCTCCAGACACGAGGCTGTCTTCCCTCTGCCTCACCCAGCCTCCAGTGATACCCCACTCTCCCTGAGCGAACCTCCCCAGCACCTTGAGCAGGAAGTACCCCAGCCCCTGCAGGTAGAATGGGCCACAGCAGCCTCCACGCCTCTTTCCAGGACACAGTAAAATCAGGTTGTCCTCTCCCAATACCTTCTCAGCTCGCCATCCTGGAGGAGCTCAGCGTGACACATGGATACGTGGCCATGACTCAGTTACTTTTCTATTGTCGTTACAAAATACCACGGCCAAGACAACTTATAAAAAAAAGAGAGCATCTAATTGGGGGCTTGCTTACATTTGCTGATCTGTAAACAGTGGCCTAGTTCAGTATAAGTCATTCGTCAATTACCAATTGCCACAATGATATGTATCAAACAGCCCCAAATCCAGTGGTTTATCTAAGTGACATACTGCTATAGGCAAGTCTACAAATCAAACGAGAGGTTCTAATCTAAGCCAGGCACAGAGGCACAATACATCTGTAGGTGGTTGTTAGAGCGGCTAATACCCTCCTCCTCTTACCTGGTTCCCTCCCAGGACCTTGGCCAGAACCCCTCTGTGGGCTGTCCACTGCTGAGTGGCCTCTCCCTCTCCAGCAAACACAAAGTTCCAGGAGAAAACCAGAGCACAGCCACGGCAACTTGCAAATCCAAGAAGTAAGGCAGTAAGTAACAGGTGCCAGTTCTCCATGACAAACTGAGTGTCACATTGCCCTGAATCAGAGAAGGAGCAGCAGTGAGCAAGTCTGCAACTAATTTACAAAACCAAAATGGGTATGTATCTGTGTGTGTGTATCTGTGTGTGTGTGTGTGTGTGTGTGTGTGTGTGCAAGCATGGGTGGTGGTGGAACAGAATGCAGGAACGAAATAAATTTTGCTTCTTTAAATTTTTCTTGTTTAGACTCCGCTGAGTGTTTTCCTAGCATGTCTGTCTATACACCACGTGCATGCCTCTTGCCTGCAGAGGTCAAAAGAGATCATCAGATCCCCCAGAACCAGGGCTATGAATAGTTGTGAGTTGTCACCTGGGAATCGAACCCAGGTCTTCTGCAAGAACAAGTCCTCAAGTTCTCTGAACTGCTGAACCATCTCTTCAGCCCCAGGAATTCCGTTTTTATCCCACGAAAAAGCAAAACTCATCTACCAATTAGAAAGTGTCTACCTCGTATCTACCTGTATGTGCAAGCATGATCTAGGGGGGCTGGCCTCCCCTCACACACTCAGCTTTCTTACATGGGACAAGGGGCTCAATGGCAACACCTGGGACTCTCTTGGTGTTTCGAAGACAGGTCTCAGGGTGCTGGGAATTAACACCCCAGGTAGCAACCTTCAGCCAGTGACACACAGAATGGAAGACAAGCCTAGGGTGAGCCAATCCCAAAGGCACCCACTCCACACTGTGGGTCCAGGTGTCCCCCAGGGCCTGTAGCAGTCACCTGCTTAATAATGGATGCTTGGCTGTCTTTCTTCTCTTCTCTGAAATTGTTTCCACTCCTCTCAAAGAAAGGAGTTAGCCTGCACCCTTCCTGTCCCGGTTACTTCTAGCCTGAGGGCTAACCCTGCAAATACTAGGAAGACTCGGAGTCCTGGGGACATTGAAAGGGCTTTGCAGACCAACAGTCGCCAGGCATCTGCCCCACCAAGTAGGCCTCTATCTCCTGGAGACCAAAGAAGCAGAATTGCTCCTTGTCCACAGGCTCAGGTCCCACCAGCAGGAGGGGCTGAGGCTTGGGGACTTAATGAGGTCCCTGACAGAAGCAAACCTGGCTGAAAATGACAAACGAACAGCATTACAGACTGGTCCCACAATTACTATCAGTTGGCTGTAATATAAATATGCAAATTCCCCGGGCTTGAACTTTAACACCCTCTGTAGAGACCATTCATCTCTTTAAAGTATTAATTTAAGTTGTAAAAGGGCTCATACATCACTGCATGTCATTTTGAAAACAAATATTAATCAATTTTACCCTCGGAATTGCTACAGAGGAGGCAGTCCCGGCTCCTATAATCCAGGAGGCGGTGGGAAAGATTTACATATTCATCCTGGCTTAAGGAAGCTGTGATAATGCAGGTACATCTACCCTTATCTGTTGCCAGCTTCTGCATCCTGGCCTGGAGAGGCTGCCTCTTGCTGATGACCTTGAGCCGGGGACAGTGGGCTCAGACCCATGGCCAGCTTCTTCCTTCCCTGAAATACTAGGCTTTCTCTCCCTAAACCCAAGGAGAACCACCGTTCTGGCTTGGGAGCCTGAGAGCAATAGGCTGGCCACCCACTGCCCCACGTCCTCTTCCACCAGCCTTAGGAACCCACAAATAACACTCTGGGAAGCAGGTGTGAAACTGGGAGGCACAGCAGGCAGGTGAGTGTTTTCTGAGGACATGTGTGTGTGTGTGTGTGTGTGTGTGTGTGTGTGTGTGTGTGTGTGTGTGTGTGTGTTAGGACGGAGTAGCCCAAGCATTCAAAACTAATCACTAATCCCACTTCTCTGCTATGTTACCTGAGAAATGGACCTGGATTTTAAAGACAGCAACTCGTGGCCAATGTCTGTGGAGAAAGCATGAAAAGCCCCCAGCACGGGCGTGTCTGTGGAGTGAGCACTGGGATTATACTGTGGACAAGTGTTTTAATTCCCACCACCCTCGATTGTTCTCCCCTTCTTCCCAGCCCCTCCCTTCACTTCTCCCTGCAGCAAGTTGGAGAGGTAGGACCTTCCTGCCAGCTGCTCCATCCAACGGATGGTCCACAAAGCACCCCAGAATAAAATACACGTTGGGGGAAATGATGATATCCCCCGTTCTTCAAGGCTGAACTACCAAGACTTCCCCCCAGGGAAATGGGGATCCCCCTGCCCCGCATCTTCATGAGAGCAGCCTTTAGGAGCCTCCGGATTCAGACAAGCCAGCACAGGGACATTGCCCTAGGCAGCTGCAGGGGAAAAGGGTCTTCCTTCACATAACAACATGGCCCTCTCGGAACTATCAGCATCCACCGCTCTCCTGGTGGGTACACTCACATCATCACGACTGGCTGTGCAGCTGAACTTAAGCCCAGAGCCCCACCGCTTCCTCCCTTCAGGCACCGGGATCAGTTTCCCACTGATGGACCACACGCCCACAGCTGAAGAGCCCCCGAGAGCTCCGCTGACCAGTGAGCATTGCGCACAGCTGAAGGGCCCCGAGAGCTCCACTGACCAGTGAGCACTGCCTACCACCTCCTGGTACATCAGCCAGCCGCAGAGGCAGCTGCAGATCCTTCACTTCTCGGCCTGGGCAGATGCAGGAGCATTTGGTGATGCAGCCGTGAATCCCAACCCTACAAGAAATGTCTGAAGCTCGTGATGTGTGCATACATGTGCACGATGAACCACGTGCAGCTCAAGCCACATGCAAGTGTGTACGATGTAAACTGACCCACAGGTAAGTGTGTGTATAACACATGAGCCCCATGAAAGCATTCCATCCATGTCTGTAGAGCCGTGTGTAGACACATGTATTGAGTGACATGTGTTAAACCCCCGTAAGTGTTGGTTTGTGAGAGCAAAAAACTGACAGCAGCAACGGAAACACACAGCCAAAGAGAAATAAAGCTTTCTGCAAATCCCCCTATGTTGGTTTAATTCACCAAACATTTATTCCACAGATGTTTATTAAAGAGCTAATCAGCTTTGGATAAATGCGCAATCCAGAGGCTAAAGAGCTGTGCTGGGAACAGAGAAGGGGGTACGCTTTCTCTTACAACCGCGGAAGCCTGGGGCAGAAACTAGGCCTCAAGAAAAGCCACAGTGAACAGCAGGAGAGCGAGCCCTCAGCTTTCCCCGTACTCCTGCCCTCAGTTAGTAACTAACACAAGCATCTCTCCTTACCAAAGGGAAACCTGTAAGCCTGGAACACTGGGTGACAGGGTGGGAAAATTCCAGAAACCGGTTGCGTTTTTTCAAGCATAGCACACAAACGTACTTCTAGACGGAACACACTGGAATGTTTCGGCTTTTTCTAGGAGGCGTCTTCAAGCACAAGCCCCCATTTTGCATGAAGGCCAAGGTCTCTTGCAGCTGATCTCTAGGCTCCTGGAGGCCAGTTACCTGATCAGCTGACAGCAAAGAGTGAGTTTCCATCTGTACATCAGGACAGGCCTAGCTTATAGCCTCATCCTAACAGTGGGACCTGGGAAAACACAGGGCAGTGGCTGTATTAATAGCCACCAGAACGGCAGCGCCAGCAGACATTTTATTTTTCCAACAAAGTGAGTCGGTTTCTTTCTTAATTCAACAGCAGAAATTGTGAAAATTAAAGCAGTTGACATAAAAATGTAGAACTCGCTGCGCATGAGTGGTGGCTGCCCTACAAGGAGGTGCGAGCCCTCCCATTGGCCGCAGTCACTTCCCACCCTCTCACCCATCCCCACTGCCGCTCCAATGTGAACCAGTGTGAGAACCTTTAGTTTCTGCTGGGTCCTCCCAGGAAACACACGAGAAACTGAGGCCCAAAGGGGAGAAGCCTGCCATAGCATGCCACCTCTCCTTGGACCAGCACCCTCCCTAAACTCTCATTCTAAGTTTTCAGGGGGAGGGGCTAAAGGAAGGCTAAAGCCTTGGCTGTGAGTTTTAAATGTTCTAGGAGACCCATCCCTCCCTTGCTCAGGATTTTCAAAGACGGATGGGGGTTATGGTTCCCAGAGAGGTGGAGGACGTGACAGGAACCCTCGTGTCTGGCGTTTCACAGTTTTGTCTCTTCTGTCTTTTGCATTTAGTGTATTACCAATATCAAGGCAAAGTGCATTCATTTGACAATCACCAAAGGGAAATCAGCTGCTGCCATAAAACCAATGAAGTTATGACAGCGGGCCCAGGAGGAGGCAGAGCCGAGTAAAACCTGTCAGGCTGCTGACAGGTGATGGTAAAGTGATGTGATGGTTCCTCCCGGCGCGATGGAAACTGACAAGGTGGGCCTCCCCACCTAATGGACACTTCCAGGCCCTCGCTCCAATGGACTGCACAGAAAGTTTAATCTCAGTAAACACCTACAAAGATCTGTTCCCGTGTTTAGAAAGAATACAGCCAGTAGGGCAAGAGCTGCAGCCTGCAAAGCAAGTGCCCAGGGTGCCAAACGGGAATGGCATGGGGACGCTAGGGGTTCCCCCATTCTTGGTGTCCTGAGTACACCTGCCTAAAGACACCTCGGCGGCTTACCCATCAGCTTCCCAAACAGAAACTAAGGCTCAAATCGCACCTACGTCACACAACATAGAGACAGAGAGCAACTGTCTCTATGACTCGTATTAAATGTGCCCGGCTCTGCGTCTTATAAAGTAATGTCAGTTAGAGAACAATGCCAGCCTGCCAGACAAGACACGTTAGAGGAGCAAAGCGGGTGGGGTGGGGGTGGGGGAAGACCCCCCCCCCAGCAACCCTCGGAATACAATGCACCAGCTGCACATTAATAAATATGTAATGTTTGATTAGAAATATGTATAGTATTTCTCCCTCCCCAAATGCCGGCTGGCCCTCAGGCGGAAGACGGGATCTGGCCCGCACTGACGGGTTTCTTTCGCTTGCTTTGAAAATACAAACCCAAATGTTTCCCTGTCCCAGCTGTTTCCCATTGTTGCTGTTTATCAGCTTGAAGGATGAACAGTGGAATAAAAAAAACACGCTCGCATTTCAAATGTGCCAGTCAGTCACGCCATTGTTCAAAGAAGAAAGCTTAATTGCCTGTGCTGGCAAACTTCTTTTTGGTGAATGTCCAGGTTTTAAGAACAGCTATTCAGCTGTGCGATTAGTTTAATACATGCAGAGAAAAGCATATAAAATCACACGGTTTTCTGGGGGGAAAAATAAATAAGGGGAAAAGAGGAAATTTTGGGGTGGGGGTGGGGGATGAGTCTCCACCATGCTCCCTCCAACACCAGACTCTCTTGAGTCTGTTTTCTACTTGGGACCCTCTGAAGCATCCTGTCATGGATGGCACGGGTCTGAGCAAACTTCAGACGCTGCCCACGGGCAGCTGGAACTGCAGACGGGCCATTCAAAGCGCTTCTCCTCTTGCTGAGCGCACCAACTTCTGCTTGAACTTCTTTCTAGGAGTGGAGCAGACTCTGCCAGCAAGGCCCAGGGACCATCGGGAAAATCAATTCTGGATTTTGGGGCCTGGCAAACAAAAGTTCTGGCAGGTGAGGCTTTGGATGCCAAAAGAGACTTCTCGACTGCCATGGTGAAGACCTCAGGCCAAGACCAAACACCCCAAGCAGCTCCTCTGACCATCAGGGATAAGTGCAGGCTGCGGTTGCCTGGCTCAGCCACTGGGAGAATCCATACAGTCTCCTCAGAAAATTCTGGATGTACAAATGACAAGGAACATGGTCTTCTGCTTGTGGTAGAATGAACTCAGCTGGCCCAGCCCGGTAACTTGCCTCCAAGAGGCCTCCACGTGGAAGCTGAATGTCCTGGAAACAGGATAGTCTAAACTAGCAGCAAGAAAATCACCCATCCCTTCCAGATTTAAGTGTTCGAGATCCTGCTCTAACCCATGTAGATGACCACTACCAAGACCTCCTCTGTGGGAGGAAGGGGGAGAAATGGGGACTAAGAGAACACCAGGACTGGGGGGAAGGGACCCAAAGTGCCAGAAGTGGCTTCCTAATTTACCAAGAGGACGTTCCCCAAGACAGTCTCTCTCTGCCTAGATTTTAATTCTACAGTGTTTTTCTATAACTAGGAAAGAGTGAAGTGTCTGGAAGTACTCCAGCCAGATACACAATGATGCAGTCTCTCCCTCCCTCCCTCCCTCTCTCTCTCTCTCTCTCTCTCTCTCTCTCTCTCTCTCACACACACACACACACTTTCCAGCATTCTCTCCTCCATACCATTTATAATGGACTGCTTACAGCACCCCCACCCCCAGGTCAGTGACCCCAGAGATTTGGGGTTCAGTATGCAAGTGACCTGTCATGGAACTTTTCAGCTGCCAGAGTCTCATGCATCCTCTCTGGCCCGTCTATATGCAGTGTCCTGTTAGTCATGTCCCCAGAGAGCCCTGGCTAATAATACAACACAGACAGAGTGGAGCGCTGGGGGCACAGTTATTGTCCACAGTCAAATCTGCAAGACCATCCACATCTGTGCCTGCCCTTGACCTCTCCTGGCCAAGCAAAGCCAGCACTGCCTCTTGACCTTGAACTTACCCCATCGTACTCCTCAAGGCCTATGGTGACTCGGTCATTGTCTCTTTCCTGCTTCTCTCACTTCTCCCTCCCTTGACGACCCCTGCATCTACTTACAAACATGCCTGACACCCAAGAATTAACAAGAAAACAGATTGGATCAGTAAAACAACTGAGGCATGTCCATCTTTCAGCACTGCTCCAAATTTCTCCAAAGAAAAGCCAGATTGAAAAGGAAAAATGGATGCGTTTTTTGGATAGCCAAAGACTTACTTTATTCACAGCTCCTGAAGACAGGAAACACATGGGGTTGGGTTGGCAGACCATGAGGGAACCACAAGCAGAGCCGCTGAGGAAGCAGAGACATCCTAAGGATGCAGCAGAGAAAGCAAGGGTGCTGCAGGCTGGCTTTCACCAGAGTCGACACTGACCTTGTACCCACACTGTGGGCCGGGGTAGCATTAAACCCCAGGCCAAACTCCAAGGACTGCACCCTAGAAAAGTTGAAACCCATTTCTGCAGTTGACATTACTCACTAGCTCGCTGAAGGGAAAGAGCAGGAGTCTCAACTCAGGAACAAGTAATACTAGAGACATTTTGTTTTTCGTCTCAGGTTAAAGAATCATGTCATGATATAAGTTCAAGCCTAGAAACCCTCCAGGTTCATTCACAGTGAAAACAACAACAAAAATACATAAAATACCTAGGAATAAACCTACGGAGAAATGTTCAGGACCTATGGGAAGAAAATCATAAAGTTTTACTGAGGAACATAAAAGAAGGCCTGGATAAATGAAAGGTGTAACCACAGACCTGGATGGAAACACTCAATATTGTAAAGATGTCAGATGCCCTTGAATTAAACTATAAATTCAATGTCACCCGTCACTGCCCTTCAAGACGTGTGTGTGTGTGTGTGTGTGTGTGTGTATGAAACTGTACATGCTAATGATAAAATTTACTTGAAAAAATGTATGAGAATATTCAAAAGCTGTAAAAGAGAATTATTTGTGCATGTGATGTAGCAGATATTAAAACAGATAATAAGGTGTTTAAAGGCCCACTAAGCTGATTAGCTTTAGGCTGAAAAGGCCAAGAAGCAAGCTAGAAAGAGCAGATATAACATGCAGCCTTTAATTCCGAGAAAAGAAAATGGCAGATCCCCAGCTCAGACCAAGAGTACAAACATGATGGGTTAAGAAGCTGAGCCTGTGCTACAGTGGGCCATGTCTGGGTCGTGGTCCAGCAGCAGCTAGGGTCTGGGTTGATGTCCATGGCTCCTGTTGTTGGCACTGGAAGACTGGGCGGACGCCTGGGGTCTGGACAGCCACCTGAGATCACGTTGGTGTCCAAGGGCCTTACTGACACCAGGCAACAAGCTTAAACGTACCTGAAAAGGGGAATGAGAATTGGGTAAGAAAAGAGATGAGACAGAAGACAGAATTGGAAGGACCTCAGTGAATACTGCAGACGCCACAAGTTTGTTACTTATCATCCTTATATACCCCAAGCAAAAGGGGAGGGCAAAAGACTTCTTTACCGTGATACAAGGGACAAGCAAACACAATGACCTTCCCAATTCCCAAAACATCTGGTCAGCACACCCTAAGTCAAACATCCTGTTATTGGGTCTCAAGGATTGAAAACCCAGTAGCCACCACACACCTTAGGCCAAACATCCTGCTGTTTAACCTTGAGGAGCAAGAATGCTGTGCTCGTGCATTTGAAAGCTGTGATGTTTATAAATCATGTAAAATAAAAATAAGGAAAGAAACTCAACAAGAACTTTTTAAATTCTGGGGCTGGAGAGGTGGCTCAGTGTTTGAGAGCGCTGGCTGCTCGCCCAGAGAACTGTGTGTGCAGCTTCAGCTCAACTTCATTCTACAATTAACTGTGTGACTGAGTTGTCCTTCCTCCACACAGCTCCCTTCAATGTGTTTGGTGATAAATTTCATGTTATCTTAAATAGTAACCAATCTTACGATTTCAAATATATTTTAAAAACCTTTTCATAGAAAAACCTAAAGTTCATCCTAGAACACACGCACTCACTCTACAGATACTCCTAAGTGAGTGGCTGTGAGCCTTGGAAGAAAGGGGATCTACCTGTCTTGAAGACCAAAGACTCTCAGTAGACGGGTCCTTTAGGGCTAGGTGCTCTGTAAAGGGTCAGAAATGCTGCTGAGAAAACCCCTCACTGTCACAAACGTGCATGAGGTGTTACAAATGTGCCGAGACCACCAACCCACCTACCCCTTGCACAGAAGTTAGGCCGCATCGCACTAGCTTTGAGTTACATTGGCTGTCCTCTCAGACCCTCTGTCTGAACTTCAGTGCATTAGGCAGGGAATAGTTCCCTTCTCTGGAGCACCGTAGTCAGCCTACGAGAGTCACCCAGGCCCAGAGACTAAACCCCACTTCAGCAAGTGCAGCCTACAGATGATGGTTGACAGATCAAAGGATCCAAAAGACATTGGTCCCAATGCAAGAGATGACTACAGCACAATTCATGTCTCAGATGTCCCTCCTACAGCCACGGCCCCACCCGCAGTCACGGCACTGCCCACAGCCACGGATCCTCCTGTGGCCACAGCCACAGCCCCTCAGACAGCAATGGTTCTGCCCATGGCCCTAGTACCCACCCCACCACGGCCTCAGTCTCTTCTACAACCAGGGCCACTCCCAATGCTGCAGTCGCAGCCCCTCCCATAGCCACAGCCCCTCCCATAGCCACAGCCCCTCCCATAGCCACAAACCCTCCCACAGCCATGGCCCCATCCATGGCCCTACCCCAACCCCTCCCAAGGTCATAGCCATGACTCCTCCCACAGCCATGACTAGACTTTGGTTTACCTCCCTACTTTACTCTTTCCTTTTTCTTATTCTGCTTACTTTCTTCCCTGACAAAATTTATTTCCTAACTTTGTGGATCAATTACACACTCCCCAAATACTTGTCTTGGGCTCTGCTCCAAGGAACCTGAACAAGAATAGTCAGTATCGGAGTTTAGCCAGCAAATGGACAAGCAATATGGGACTCTGAAGAAGCCACGTGGCTAGAATTTAGGATTTGTGGTAGCGCCATGCAACAGCGTAGCAATTGCTGAAACTTCCACGGGGGCTACCCCTGGGTCCTGGAGTTACAGGTGACAGGGATACACTGCCTTTTGCAGGAGCTTTGGTCCTTGAGAGGCCTAACAGAAATGGTTTTTATAAACAGTGGGATCGGACAACCACCGACAAATTCCATCAGTGGCCTAAAATACGGAAAACTGAGCTCAGAGCAACCAGTCACCGTGAGCTATGAGGCAAGAGTGTCCAAGAGCCTGTGGTGGTTAATCTGCTGACTTCAAGGGAAGGGGAATGGAAGCTTACTAAGGCAGACCCCTGGATGTGTTTCCAGAGACACTTAGATCATCCGATTCCGACCTAATGAAAGACTTAGTTCGTTGACTATTTTAAATTCCGAATAGGCCCTTGAGGAGGTAGCTCTGCAGAAGGTGGGGCCCTCTAGAGGAAGTGGTTCTCTGAGGACTTTTACTCTGAGGATCTTCATCTTGGCCTCCTCCTGTGTCTGCTCCACTTGACTTCCTGTCCACCAGGAGATGAACAACTTCCTCCTCTGTGAGGAGCCGCCCTCGCTATCGCTATTGCCGTTAGAAGATGGCGCTGACATCTGCTGTCAGTTGGAGTTAACCGTTAGAAGATGGCGCTGACATCTGCTGTCAGTTGGAGTTAACCGTTTAAGCTGTGCCTCTCCCGTGGCGTCATCTGGGGTGATGTGCAAACCACCAATCCCGGCTCTACACGTCTCACTCGGAGCTCCTAGGCTTATATAAGGGGCTGGGTTTCTTAGCTTGGGGTCTCCCTCTAAGAAGCTGATCATCTATCTCTCAAGATGCATTAAAGCTTTACTGCAGAAGGATCCGAGTGTTCTGCGTCGTTCTTGCTGGCGAGACGGTAGCGCGGGACATCTGGTGCCGAAACCCGGGAACTCTTCAACATCGCCGGCGCCGCGGGAGACCCCTCGGAAGACGGGGCGGATTCAGAACTGCAGGGACGTAAGTTCAGAGAGGTATGCTTTATCCTGAATACCCCTTTCTCGACTTTGGCCTCAGTTTGTCATCACCGTGGGACGGGTCAGTGGAGGCTTTGGTGCTAGTCCTGTTTGTCCTTCTCCTTCATCGTGGCTGGTGCTGACAGAACGGTGCTGTCAGTCTGGTGCTGTCAGTCTGGTGCTGTCAGTCTGGTGCTGTCAGTCTGGTGCTGTCAGTCTGGTGCTGTCAGTCTGGTAACGGAGTTGAGCGCCGTTTTTTAGATAAGCCGCTAGCGCGATGGGGTTGTCACAGTCAGTGGTTACTGCCCTACAGACTGTGCTAAAACAAAGAGATCTTAAAATTGCACCACGAACACTTCAAAATTTTGTGAAGGAGGTAGATAGAGTGGCACCATGGTATGCTTGTTCCGGGTCCCTCACTGTGGCCTCATGGAACAAGCTAGGTAAAGAACTAGACAGGAAGCATGCAGAAGGAGATCTCCACTTAGGTACCAAAGCCATTTGGAAGCTAGTTAAAAACTGCTTGGAGGATGAGGCCTGTCACCCTGCTATAATAGAAAGTCAGGGAACCTTAGAGGAAGTTCAGGATAGCATGTCAGAAACTGAACGGAGTGAGAGAATGGGAGCTCGCAAAAGGAAAGACATGTCTAAGAAAAAAGGCCCTCCCCAAGAAGTTAAGAAAGGGGGAGAGAAAGAAGGGAGTGATCATTCACCCCCTAACAAATCTAAGAAAAAGAAAAAGCCAGAATCTAGTCTATACCCTACAGTAGAGCTAGAAGCCTTGGAGCTAGATAATTCTGATTCTGACACTCTGTATTCTAGCAAAGAAGGTGGTCTAGAGGAGGAGGTGGCACGGTATGAGGAAGAAAGATATCACCCTGATAGACACCGGCCACTGAAAACAAAAATGAATGTGAGGCCACCGCCTATAAATCCGGCGGGCTCACGCCCCTCAGCGCCTCCGCAGTATGAGCTTCGGCTGAATACTGGTACTGACTCCTTTTTACCTTTAGAGGAATGGAGAAAAATACAAATGGCTTTTCCAGTATTCGAGAATGTGGAAGGCGGAAGAGTACATACCCCTGTAGATTACAATCAAATCAAAGAATTGGCCGAATCCGTTCGTAATTATGGGGTCAATGCTAACTTTACCACAATACAGGTAGAAAGGCTTGCTAATTTTGCCATGACTCCCACTGACTGGCAGACGACAGTGAAAGCAGTGCTTCCCAACATGGGACAATACATGGAATGGAAGGCTCTCTGGTATGATGCAGCCCAGGCACAAGCTAGAGTTAATGCCACGGCTGAAGATGAGAATCAGAGGCAGTGGACATTTGAAATGCTGACAGGTCAGGGTCAACATGCCCTTAATCAAACCAACTACATCTGGGGTGTCTATGGTCAGGTGTCGGCCGCCGCTATTAAAGCATGGAAGGCCCTCACAAAAAGGGGAGAGTCCAGTGGACACCTTACAAAGATTGTCCAAGGACCCCAAGAGCCATTTTCAGACTTTGTGGCCAGAATGACAGAGGCCGCCAGTCGCATCTTTGGTGATTCAGAACAAGCTATGCCCCTGATTGAGCAACTTGTCTATGAACAAGCAACCCAGGAATGTCGAGCGGCTATCGCCCTCGCAAAAGCAAAGGTTTACAAGATTGGCTCAGAGTGTGCAGGGAGCTGGGGGACCCCTAACCAATGCAGGACTAGCTGCCGCCATTTTACAAACGCACAGGTATAGAGATTTATCTAGTCGAAAAGCTTGTTTTAATTGTGGGAAAATGGGGCACCTTAAGAAAGATTGTCAAGCCCCTGAAAGAACAAGAGAATCGAAGCTTTGCCATCGTTGTGGTAAAGGTTATCATAGGGCTAGCGAATGCAGGTCAGTCCGGGATGTAAAAGGGAGGCTTCTGCCCCCTATTGAAGAACCCAAGGTACCCCAATCAAAAACGGGTCACGGGGCCCATGGTCCCAGGGCCCTCAGAAATATGGGAACCAATTTCAGAAAAGCAATCAAGAGGAAGTAGAGGCTTCCGAGGAACCCCCGGAATGGACTTGCGTGCCGCCTCCAACTTCTTACTCATGCCCCAAATGAATGTTCAACCGGTCCCAGTCCATTCCCCTGGACCTTTGCCCCCTGCCACCATTGGGCTTATTCTGGGCCGTGGCTCCTTAACTTTACAGGGACTCATTATATATCCTGGAATTGTTGACCCGTATCATAAAGAGGAGATTCAAGTTCTCTGTTCTAGCCCTCGGGGTGTATTTTCTATAAAGCAGGGAGATAGAATTGCACAACTGGTGTTGCTGCCCTCCCTCGGGGATGGAGAAACCTACACTTTACAAAAAAGGGCTATGGGATCTTCTGGAAGTGATTCAGCCTATCTGGCTATACCCCTAAATGAGAGACCTACAATAAAATTGTTAATTAATGGAAAAGAATTTGAAGGGATAATGGATACGGGATCAGACAAAAGCATTATTTCACTCCATTGGTGGCCGAAGTCTTGGCCCACTGTTGTTTCATCTCATTCTCTACAAGGTCTTGGATACCAGTCCTCTCCTGCCATCAGTGCCTCAGCCTTAACCTGGCGGAATGCTGAGGGCAAACAGGGATGTTTTACCCCTATGTGTTGCCACTCCCTGTAAATTTATGGGGACGGGATGTGTTACAAGCCATGGGCATGACCCTAACTAATGAATACTCCCCCAGGCATCAGCCATTATGGCAAAGATGGGGTATACAAACGGTAGAGGCTTGGGTAGGCAAGAACAAGGCAGAATAAAACCCATTACGCAACACGGAAATCGGGGTAGAAAAGGACTGGGTTTTATTTAGGGGCCGTTGAGGCTTCACGACCCATACCATGGAAAACAGAGGAGCCGTTATGGGTCTCTCAATGGCCTCTATCCTCTGAAAAATTAGAGGCTGTCACAAGATTAGTGCAAGAACAGGAACGGCTGGGGCATCTAGAGCCTTCTACCTCCCCATGGAATACACCAATTTTTGTTATTAAGAAGAAATCTGGGAAGTGGAGATTACTCCACGACCTGCGGGCCATTAACAATCAGATGCATCTTTTTGGCCCTGTTCAAAGAGGCCTTCCTTTGCTTTCTGCACTCCCTCAAGATTGGAAGCTTATTATTATAGATATTAAGGATTGTTTCTTCTCTATTCCACTTTACCCACGGGATAGACCAAGGTTTGCCTTCACTATCCCTTCTCTTAATCATATGGAACCAGACAAGAGATTTCAGTGGAAGGTACTGCCGCAAGGCATGGCCAATAGCCCAACAATATGTCAGCTGTATGTGCAGGAGGCTTTGGAGCCAATTAGGAAGCAATTTACATCTTTAATCATGATCCATTATATGGACGATATTCTTATTTGTCACAAAGAGTTAGATGTTTTACAAAAGGCTTTCCCATGCTGGTGGCTGAATTAAAACAGTGGGGATTAGAGATTGCCTCAGAAAAGGTTCAAATTGCAGATACAGGCCTCTTTTTGGGCTCAATGATTACTCCCAAAAATATAGTTCCTCAGAAAATAGAAATTCGCAAAGACCACTTACAAACATTAAATGATTTTCAGAAACTTCTGGGAGATATAAATTGGTTGAGGCCCTTTTTAAAAATTCCATCTGCTGATCTAAAACCCCTCTTCGATCTCCTGGAGGGTGAGCCTCATATCTCCTCACCCAGAAAATTTACCCCTGCCGCCCACCGAGCCTTACAGATGGTGGAAGAGGCCTTACAGGAAGCACAATTACAACGTATTGAGGAGTCACTACCTTTTAATCTGTGTGTTTTTAAGACAGCTCAATTGCCAACTGCAGTCCTGTGGCAACATGGACCATTACTTTGGATTCATCCAAATGCTTCCCCTGCTAAGATTATTGACTGGTACCCTGATGCTGTTGCACAGCTCGCGCTTCGCGGAATAAAAGCAGCTGTTACACATTTTGGCAGGGATCCTGATTCCTTGATTGTGCCTTATACTGCTGCACAAGTTCAGACCTTGGCAGCCACATCTAGTGATTGGGCAGTTTTAGTTACTTCCTTTTCAGGACAAATTGATAATCATTTTCCAAAGCATCCAATTTTACAGTTTGCCCTAAACCAGGCTATAGTGTTTCCACAAGTGACAGCTAAAGACCCACTCCCAGATGGGACTGTGGTGTACACTGATGGATCAAAAACTGGTATGGGAGCTTATGTGGTCAAGGATAGGGTTATATCTAAACAATATAATGAAACTTCACCTCAAGTTGTAGAATGTCTGATAGTACTGGAGGTTCTTGAGGCTTTTCCAGGACCCCTCAATATTGTATCAGATTCCTCTTATGTGGTTAATGCAGTTAATCTCCTTGAGATAGCTGGAATAATAAGATCCTCCAGCAGAGTTGCTAACATCTTTCAAAAGATACAAGCTGCCTTGTTAAATAGGAGATTTCCTGTTTTCATTACCCATGTCCGAGCACATTCTGGACTCCCAGGTCCCATGTCCTTAGGGAATGACTTAGCGGACAAGGCTACAAAGCTGGTGGCCGCTGCCTTGTCTACCCATGCACAAGCAGCAAAAGAATTCCATAAGCGCTTTCATGTGACGGCTGAGACCTTGCGCCGTCGTTTTGC